CGGTCAACGATTTTACAACCCTATAAAATTACTAAAAAGAAGCATTCCATACTTATAATTACATTTTTGTGCTAAAATCATGAAAACACGATTTCTATCAAGTTTTTCTTTAATTCACCTGTGCACTCTTTTGTGGAAGCTCGTTTCATCATGAACATGATGAATGTTACAATTCATTTTGAAATGAAGGTTAATTTCAGAATGACGCGAGATTGCTGTTAGCCAATCAAAATAACGTATTATAATCACTTTGACAAGCGGATGGTGGTAACTGAAGTTACCACGATCCTAATATGGCGTAAGGGAATCCCCGTAAGATCTTTTACTCTTAATTTCTCTGTATTTAGATAAATTTGACTAACATTACTCAGCCGTTATTTGGTTATTAACATTTGCAATGAGTCTGTAAAATATTAACCTCAAACAATTGTCCGTTACTTAGAAAATAGAAAGTGAAAAAAGTACGTTGATGATGGTAACTGTTTATGTTGTTTTTGAAAGATCGTGGTATAAACTGATTTCAGGGATGGTGGTAACTTGCCAAAAGGTTTTATATAAAAACGATAAACTAAGTACAATTTAGCCGTGAAATATATGGACCCTCTCACGAAGTTAAATCAATTGACGTTACGTATTTCGTCCTATAGTATGACCCACACAGTTGAGTACTACGTATCGGTACAAGTAATAGCTTTTTGTCATAGCTTTTCGAAAAAAAAGCTAGCCGTCTCTTAGCTGATGAAAGTGGAAAGTGTTCTCGCTTTGTAGATTAATTCATTCAGAATAGCCTTGCATATAAATCAACAAATTTTACCACAGGCGTTATGAAGCAGTAACTCGTTTAATGTTGTGTGTTAAATATGGACCGTTATCGTAATAATCCCTCAAATCATGGTTGTAAAATTTACATATTTATCAAACAATTTATTCTCTCATCATGACATATCATAACCATGTAAAAGTTTTTGTGTGTTTTTCGTGTATAAAATGTACGTAACTGTGTGCGACTGGATTGAAAGTGAAACAATCATGTGTGTGTTTACAAACAGAAGATTCGGCTATTTATAGATAAAAATTACCTGTGTACCGATATGCATGATTGGTGACCAGGCAAAATATAACTGCTGAAATAGAGAGTACAAATCCGATACTCTACGGGATTGACATACATTTACTAGGTTTGGATTGTCCCAACTAATCAACGAACTTTAATTATTAACGTCTCAGTAATATCTTCCAATCAGGTAGTAAGAAGCATTCAGCCCGCAGACTGTCCATCGTTCAATTCTTAATAACGTCTCCGAGGAGACGGTAATAAAGGGCGGATCAAGACACTGTGAAAAAAGTAGGGGTGTGCTAGCCGGGGTTCCATAAAAAAAAAGGGGGTGCTAGTACTTTATTCAACTTTTTTTGTCAATTTTTCACAAGAAAAAGACAAAATTTCCAACAAAAGGAGAGGGGCGGGGGTCAATCCCTATCATCCCTTTTTTGGATCCGCAACTGGGTATCGCTCTGGTTTTTTTTATTTATAACCAATTTCATAATATATATTCACCAATGATATTTTTATATTCTATCGAAAAGACAATATTATGGAAGTCACCAACGAAAATGAAATAAGCGTGATTGTGACAATTTTGTTTAAATTGTACACTGGTCTACACTCATTCTAAAATTATTTACTTGCACCATTAAAGTCCTTAAAATTAATAGTTGTTTTTAATATATTCATTGCAGAACATCTAGAATTTCTGTTTTACTTATGTAATATATATATAAGATGTATAAACGATTCCTTCTGTTCAATATATGCTTTGATATAAAATGAGGATGTGTGGGGATAATATTTTGAGATATCAATAGGTACAAAAATAGCTTTCCCGCAATGATTTTAGAAAATGAAAAATATGGAATGATTTGGGGCTAACATTTTGTTTCAAGAATTTGCGAATTTAACTGACATACCCTTTTTGTATATACCTAATAATTGTAATTTATATGATGCCGATTTAAAGGATGTGTGTCTGACAAGTTAAAATGGTTATGAAATGCTTTCGAGAGATACCTCTCTGGTTCACTTCAAAGCCGAACACAATAATATGTTTATTTCCTTTTCTGTTACCCAAACCTACTATATTGAGGAGGGAAGGGGGATCTGATCCCGAAATCCCAGGCTTAAAAGACCAGAGGGCCCAACTTTAAAGAAATTGCAATCCTGACATCCCGAAATTCGAATATAGGAATAGGAATTCCCGTATCCCAAAAGTATCAATCCCGAAATTCCAAAATAAAAAACCACCTAATTTCGGAGTCCTGAAAAGGACCCCCCCACCTTTAAAATTGTGATGCCCTAAGAAGGCATACTCTTATGTCTTGCATTTCTTGAAATATGTTTAACGTTTGATTTTTCCTTCATTACCTCAAAGTAAAATTTTTTTTTTTTGGTTTTATTAGGACAAATATTACTATTTTGTAATAGATTCGAAAAATGATTAATTTCGGTTAAGAGTTAAATAGCAAAATACTTGTAAGAGACACGACATAACAAAAAGAAATAAACAGGTTAAAGGCGACCTAATGGTCTTTGTTTGCTCTGCATGAGAACAGATTTAACTGGAAAAAATCATACAAAGGACAATACAGAAACATATATAGTTTTTAGTTGGTATTACAACACTAATATAGTTGATATAAGAAACCTAGACTACAAAACAGACAAAAACTTATTTTGAATGTTCCAAAATCAATCAATGTATTATACAATTGCCTAAGGTCGATTTCTATCCGACTCATATCATTTGTTGTCAATGATTCTCTATTCTTTATATTTTAGCGCTGCACTTTTTTCTCTATTCTTTATTTTTTTTCGTCCATTTTGCTGTAGATTTGGCTCATTACTCTCTACTCTGTAAAACCCACCCAGACCGTCATTCTAGTGTCTTTACAATATGCCAATAATTATATTTCAACCTACATGTAGTTGAATAAAAAAGATTTCTGTGGTAGCGTGCTGGCCTCGAGTGCGAGAGATATGGGTTCGATTCAAGGCATTATAAAATAAAAAAAGATAAACACACATCATTATAACGTACTGCAAAGGCTGCAAGGTCGTCGCGGACTCAGAATAACTCAAAAATAGGATGTGGTATGACTGCCAATGAGTCAAACATCCACAAGAGACAAAATGCCACAGACATAGGTCACCGAACGGCCTTCAACAATGAGTAAAACCCATATCGCATAGTCAGCTATAAGAGGCCCCGAAATGACAAATGTAAAACAACTCAAACGAGAAAACTAACGGCCTGATTTACGTACAAAAACCAGTTTGAAGGCTCCAACCATGTCCAGGTATGGTAATGTATATTCACGACCACTGTTATCTTGCAAACTAGCATGACGTTATAGAACACAGCAGGGTTCATATTCATATCACATTTACATCTTCTCGTCCTAATATGCATGCAATGTTTGCCAAAGGACGTTAGACGGTAATCCATTCATTCTTTAATCCAGTTTATTCAATGTAAGTCTATGAAACACTAGAAAACAAGATTGAGTATACATGTTATAAAATTGTTATGATGATCTTGATAAAAGAGCGACAAAATTATAATCACACCAAGATTTAAATAGCTTACGTTTTCTTCCATTAAACCCTTTTCCTATGCATTTTTGTTGTACAATTTGCAATTTGTCCTCTTCAAGAGCCACTAAAAATAATCTGGCACCATGTTCTGCTAACTTGATAGCGGTGGCTTCTCCTATGCCAGAACTTGCTCCTGAAAGATCAATATAAATACCAGCTCTGCAGGGTGTAAAGTAACATTATATTTCAGGAGGACGCTTTTATTCTTCACTGTTGTCACAATTCACGTAGTACCGTTGTGTCAATTCAAGGGATGTAAGTCTTTAAAAAGATATCAGTGACAGTGCAAACAAAATCATTAAAGGTGCATTGACTATGAATTAGACAATAAAATGGAATACGATTCTTTTTGTTTCAAGTATTAATAAAGAGGAATTTTGAAATAATATTTCGTTACAAGAAGTCAGTTTTGTCCAAATTTGTCAAAATAAGCTAAAAAATATCGCTAATGTATTATTCACTATCAAATCAATAATTCAACCTCTTTGAATCTGTATTCATGTGACCATCAGTTTACCCCCTTAGCTGGGTATTGGTTACGCATGTACTATATGTGTTCAGGTATTAAAAGGAAAAAGAATGTAAACATAGAAAGTGAAACAAGGGTGAACCATTTCGTTGACTGATTCAATCCACAAAAAAATCATTCTTAGTCAGATATAGATAATGATAAACATATTTGTTTAACCTATAACATGAAATCAAACTGACCTAGAAAAATCCAATTGCACGGGCTCGATATCAATTTATATTCATATTTATGTTTATATTGAGTTATATGACCCTCGGCAGTCTTCGGAGGTCATTTCGTTGGTTAATTAGATAGCGTCGACTAAAATACACACAGATGCTGACATATATTACCGAGTCCATGCTTTAGTAATTGTTTTTTTTTTTATATATATACTTTTTGTAATTTAGATATACGTTTTTGTATGTCATATATCAAATATGAGAATTTGAGTCAAATCAGTGAAAATTAATTTCACAGATAATGCCCCTTTAAGCAGAAGATAGACAGACGGTAACATAGTCAAAAGACAAAGACACATAGACTATCAATCCATTATAGAAAACACTACGAAAAGACTTAATATTGAGCACCACTAATAACAAAAGACTGAAGGCCGAATAAGGTGCACCAAAAAGGATCAGCTGTTCTATTAGTAACGCACGTCGTGTTTCTCTCGTTAAATAATCATACTTAATGATAAGGCATCACACAATAGCAGATTGATAAAAATAGTTAAGGTACGTCGTACATGTCGTTCTTCTTTTCTGAAAAAAAAAATGATAAGAACATTTGTAAATAAATTAAAATTGAATTTCCCGCGTGACTTTGAATATATATCTCCTTCAATTTTTACGACAAGGATATCATTATCGCCAAGGACGTATCTCGCTCTGTTCGTAAGTACAAATAATACACATATGCTTTAAATATGTACAATATACAACCAATTTGACAATTTTTACACGATATAAAAAACTGTGGTACATCAGTGTTTGTCTCAATATTAGTAAAACAGGTTTAATATTCCTACCTGTTACAAGGACAACCTTTTCTCTCCGGTAATTGATGTTTTGCATTTTAACGATATTTATAAGGCCACGACTATTGTATTTCACGATTGAATTTTTTGTTGTAAGATAAAAACTAAGCTGTTAAACATTTTTTTTATCATTCCTTAAAAAAAAGATGAGTGTAAATTTATAAATGATTGAAAAATACACTACTTAACTTTTTAATTTTACACAACCTAAATACTACAGTTATTCCCTGCTTGTTTTGTTAGAAGAGCAATAATTTTCAACTAATTCAATTTCCTAAAAAAATAATGAAAAGTAAAATAGATATAGTATTCGAATCAAGCATTCTTTTTGTAATAAAATCAACACAATAACAAAATTGTGCAAGATAATAGAAAAAAAATAAATAGATTACCACGACCTTACATCTAGATAACATATCATATGATACACCTTGCACACGTTACTTTACATAGAGAAAATATGACATTCATTTTGACTTTGTCAATATCAAGGAACAATTTAATTGTAAACACATATGATTGTATAAATATACTATGGCCTTTTAGAATATCTTCTGTAATAAATCTTGCTACAGGACGTGGCGCTAGAACTTCTTCTGTGATAAATATCGATGCCAGACATGTAGCAAGATCTTTTCCTGTAGTACATTTTGATACCGGACGTTGCGTCAGAACATTTCATGCAATCCATTAAGACACCGGACGTGGCGCTAGAACATCCTCTTTAAGAGCCAATCTGCCAGAAAACCATGCAAAACCGTCCGAATGTCACTTTTTCCAAATGAGTTCATATTTGGCATATTGGTGCACCTTAGTAATGTAAATAACCACACAAATTTTTTTGGGAAAATATTAAACCGATCTGGATATTTTTTGAGCGCCATTTTTTAACAGATGAAATGGCTCGAAAACAGCAAAAATAAGCCTTTTTTGGCATATTTCGCTGGTTTAAATAAAAAAATATGGTAACATTTATAATTTTTTGATAGTTGTTCCTAGTAATACATCACTTTAAGTGTAAGAATGCATAGAATTAACAATGCTGTCTATTAAGTGTATGTATAATCTAACTGTGTCAATATGTCTTATTTAGCTACATGTCCAAAATGGCTGATTTTGGTCATCTTTCAGAGCCAAAATACTCCAAGACCCGTTTATTATTGTAAAACAACATATCTACTTGCAAAGTATAACTATATATACCCAATCAAAAAAAATATCAAGCTCGGCAAATAATGTTGGTGTCTGGCATATGCCACAACAAAATGGGGTAACCTGCATATTCAAATTTTCTCAATTTTGCCATCTAATTTGTAACTACTGACATATGATAGGATCTGGACTTATAAATAAGTATAACAACAAATGGAAAAGAATAATTAATGTTTCATTTAATACATTAAGAAAATAATCATACATAAATACAAATTATTCATTATAAATCTAGAGGCTCCCAGGAGCTGAAATAGATCGTATTGACAAATTGTGCACCTAAAACGATAAAAAACACATATTTCAAACGCAATCAATTTAAATTAGAAGTTAAACAATTCAGAATAAGTTTAGACTGTAAAAAAAAAGTTTCTTCTGACCACTTTTGCAATTTATTCTTATAATATATTGATATAGTTGTCGGATAGTAGCAGAAAACTGTGAAAATTTGTAAATTTACACATTTCAGGGACAATAGCTCATAGATGTTATGTCCAATTTTTCAGAAAAATTTTGGGTATTTAGATCTTGTCTATATATATATTGAAAAGTTTTTAAATTTTGTATACATATATATATATGTATGACACTTCTTCTAAAGTTATTAAGATGATGGTTTAAAAGTGAAAACTGTAAACAGATGATTTTAACAGACAGTTAGTGATGGAAATTTTTTTATGACCCTTTGAGCCTAGTATGCTAACAAGGCAAGATTTGCCAGGTACCTATATCTATGTTGCTGCAATGTGGTCAATACAAACATGAAAATCATGAATGCTTTTAAAATGAAAGAACCTTAGTGAGCGCGCTCACATACCCCACGTCCCAACATTGTCATTGGAGAAATAAAATAAGTGTCAGAAAAAAAAAATGTATCAGAAAAAAAAATTGAATCATAATTTCCTGTCAATATGCACATCGACGTAGTATGTCCTTATTATCTACACAGTTTCATGAAATTCTGTTGTGTGGTTTGAGAGGAGTTGCGATGACAAAAGGTTGCAGTAGTATATTGGGCAAATAAGTTCAAAGGGGCGTAATTCCTGGAAAAAAAATTGAATCGTAATTTCCTGTCGATATGCACATCAACGTAGTATGTCCTTATTACCTGAAAAGGTTTCATGAAATTCTGTTGTGTGGTTTGAGAGGAGTTGCGATGACAAAAGGTTGCCTTAGTATATTGGGCAAATAAGTTCAAAGGGGCGTAACTCCTGGAAAAACAATTGAATCGTAATTTCCTGTCGATATGCACATCTACGTAGTATGTCCTTATAATCTGAAAAGGTTTCATGAAATTCTGTTGTGTGGTTTGAGAGGAGTTGCGATGACAAAAGGTTGCAGTAGTATATTGGGCAAATAAGTTCAAAGGGGCGTAACTCCTGGAAAAAAAATTAAATCGTAATTTCCTGTCGATATGCACATCTACGTAGTATGTCCTTATTATCTGAAAAGGTTTCATGAAATTCTGTCATGTGGTTTGAGAGGAGTTGGGATGACAAACTGTTGCAGTAGTACATTAAAGTAAATAAGTTCAAAGGGGCGTAACTCCTAGAAAAAGACTTGAATAGTAATTTCCTGTCTATGTGCACAACTTCATAGTATGTCCTTATTATCTAAAAAGGTTTCGTGAAATTCTGTTGTGTGGTTTGAGAGGAGTTGCGATGACAAGAAACAGGACTGACGGACTGACGGATGGACGGACAGACGGGTCAAAAACATTATACCCTCCGCAACTCGTTGCGTGGGGTATAAAAAAATCCCATAACTAGACGAAAAACAAATTACTTAGTCTATATATACCAGTGCAAAATTTATAAAGAATTTTGAATGAAATTGGATAGCTGTTAAGATTACTGTACCTATAATGCTCTACATCACATCCTCGGAGATAACAGAATTAAAATAAGTCATATGAATCTTCCAATTTCAATAAAGTTGAATGTGTTTTTTTATACTTGAACAGCTATAGGTTTTACTATAAAACAAGTGTACATTCACTTTCTTGTAAAAGAAAAACCATAACATTAAAATCTCCATAAATGATGAACTGTTATTTTTTGAGACAACATCCCATGGAAGATTTAACTGATGTTTTAAAGTTGAAAAGTTTCTGTTGCTTGTTTGGTTGGTTGAAATTGTTTCTGTTAGAAGCATTATCAGTCTCCCAATCTGATGTTGACTGCTGTGAAAGATCAGTTGTTGTTGACACTGACAGAAAGGTTAGCTGCGAGTCTAGATCTGAAAACCACAAAACATACATACATAAATCAGGTTGTTAGTTTTCATATTTTTTCATTTTCTTATTTTGGGGCCTTTTATGGCTGAATATATATGCAGTATAGGTCTTGCTCATTGTTGAAGGCCATATGGCGTATGAAGACATATAGCTTTACCTCTATGTCATTTGTTCTCATTGGCAATCATACCACATTTTTTTTTAATTTCATATATACCACTGACAGGAAATAAAATTGACAACTTTTACTGTAAGTGGATGCAGTTACAAAATTCTCCCAACTAAAGCCAAATCATTTTTGCAGAATAGTTATTATCCACACCTTAAAATCTAAATACATGGTTAGATTCAGCATATCAAAGAACCCCAAGAATTCAATTTTTGATGAAATCAAACAAAGTTTAATTTTGGACCCTTTTGACCTCAATGTGGACAAAGTTGATAACGGGGCCCAAAAATCAAAAATCTAAATACATGGTTAGATTCAGCATATCAAAGAACCCCATATATTCAATTTTTGTTGAAATCAAACAAAGTTTAATTTTGGACCCCGATTTGGACCAACTTGAAAACTGGGCCCATAATCAAAAATCTAAATACATGTTTAGATTCAGCATATCAAAGAACCCTAAGAATTCAATTTTTGTTAAAATCAAACTTAGTTTAATTTTGGACCCTTTGGACCTTAATGTAGACCAATTTGAAAACGGAACCAAAAATTAAGAATCTAAATACACGGTAGGCTTAGGCATATCAAAGAACTCCAATAATTCAATTTTTGATGAAACCAAACAAAGTTTAATTTTGGACCCTTTGGACCTCAATGTGGACCAATTTAAAAAACGGGGCCCCAAATCCAAAAACTTAATACACGGTTAGATACAGCATATTAAAGAACCCCAAGAATTCAAGAATAAAACCCCATTGAAATTGGTCAAGAAATAAGCAATTTATACGAAGTATCTTCTTTTGCACAATACTGTGCAATTGAATATTTCTTGCTATAATAATATAATATAATAATAATAAATTCTTTATTTAAAGAGGGTAAACTCAGTTAGTTACAATAAACTAATCTTCCCTGAGGCCCTCACATACAAATTACAATACAATCAAAAACAGATATTTACACATAGTTAATTTACAGTCAATTAGTTCAATGTAATATTACTAACATGATAAGATATAAGGCTGTTCAAGATGCACATGTAGTCAAAAAATCAAATAAAAATAAAAATAAAAGAATATACAAATACATTGTAGAAAACATAATCTTATCAGGACTGTGTTAAGTACTTCTTGATACTTTGTTTAAAAGTATAAGTGTTTTGAGCTTTACGCATTTTGTGTGGTAGTCCATTCCATAACACTGATCCAGAATAAACAAAAGATTTCTTAAATAGCTCAGCTTTTGGCTTAGGAACTATCATATTACCTTGAGTGACACCTCTCAAGGAGTAAGGATTATTATCTGATTTCAGTTTAAACTTTTGAACTAGGTACATTGGAGCTTCCATATGCATACATTTATATAGAAGTAAATATTTGTGGTATTTGATTCTATTGTCAACTGTCATCCACCCAAGTTCTTTAAATAAGGGGGCTGAGGGGGATAAAGGATCTGCATCTAGAATTAATCTTGCTGCCCTTTTTTGGAGTTTTAAAATTCTTGTTATCCCTTCATTTTTACATTCACCCCAAATAATACAGCAGTAGTCAATCAGGGGCAGAATATACCCATTGTAATATGTTTTCCTTGCATTTATATCTAAAAATTTCTTTATTTTAGAAAGAAGGTATATTCTGGATGATATGTTAGCACAAACTTGGTCAATTTGATTTCTCCAGCTAAGTGTGCTGTCAATTTTAACACCTAATAATTTTTCACATGAAGAATTTTGTAATACTTTTGAATTTATTATCAAGTTTGGTTGATAAGTCTGAATTGATAGTTTCTGCTTTGTTCCAGTAACCAAACATTTTGTTTTGTTTGCATTAATGAACATGTTATTCATTTTGCACCACTCTTCAACCCTGTATAAATCTTCTTGAACATCATCATGTATATTTTCTATGTTTTTCCCTGATTTATGAAGAGTGGTGTCATCAGCATATAGGTCTGTTTCACAATTTTCAATGCATAAGGGAAAAAATTGCGCAATACTGTACAATTGACAATTTCTTGCTATTGCGCAATATTGTGCTAATGGATATTTCTTGCTATTGCGCAATACTGTGCAAAGAATAGGTTTCTAACACAGAATAAATATGGTATAAAGATAAAGTTTAATAGATTCAGCATATCAGAGAACCCCAAGATCAAATTAAGATTTAAAATTTAGTTTAATTTTGGACCCTTTGGACCTCAATGTAAACCAATTTCATAATAGGGCCCAAAAACTAAATACAGGTTAGATTCAGGCTGAATCAGCATCTTTAAAATTATTGTTGAAATCAAACACAGTTAAATTATGGACCCCATTTGAACCAACTTGAAAACTGGGACCAAAATCATAAATCTAAGTACATATTTATATTCAGGATATTTGATTATTTCTATTTATCATACAAAGAACCCTAATTCATTGTAATTAGAGTTCAAGTTTTGTTAAAATTAAACTAAGTTAAAATTTGGACCCTTTGGACTTTAAAATGTGGACAAATTTGAAAACCGGACCAAAATTAAAAATCTAAATTTAAAACATTTGCATTTTGTATATCAAAAGAACCTCAAGATTTCAAGTTGTGTAGAAATAAGAAAAAAAATTTTTGGACCATTTTGAAATCAATGTGAACCAATTTAAAATGGGGCCCAATTGCAACATCTTAAATTATTTAAATACATTGTTAGATTTAGCATATTAAGAACCCAAATAATGTATTTATTTTAATTTGTTCTTGTCCTAAACATGCATGAACTATTTGCCATTGGACATTAGCATTACCAACAACCAATCAATTAATCGAACAATTGAAATATCTTCAAAAGTACCAATAAAAATCTCCCCCTTTTATATTTGAAAAAGTAAAATCACAAAAATACTGAACTCAGAGGAAAATTCAAAAAGGAAAGTCCCCAATCAATTGGCAAAATCAAAAGTTCAAACACATCAAACGAATGGATAACAACTGTCATATTCCTGACTTGGTACAGGCATTTTCTTATGTAGAAAATGGTGGATTGAACCTGGTTTTATAGCTAGATAATAAACCTCTCACTTGTATGACAGTCGCATCAAATTCCATTATATTGACAACGATGCATGAACAAAACAAACAGACACAATAGGTAAAATTGTAAAAAATAGGGGTACAGCAGTCAACATTGTGTTATCATCTTAATCACTATAAAAACAAACAAATGTAACGAAGAAGCACAAAAAGGCATACATGTACATCAAATTTAACATCCTCATTTTGCTTATATTATACTATTTTATATATCTATGAAAAATCCACCCATAAAGGATGGAAGGTTTTAATTAAGTACTGGCGTAAAATCGCGCGTTTGAAATTCGTACAGGTAGACATAAAATAATTTTGTCGTTCATAGTATGACAGGATACATAAATACAGTCACGTAAAATGGATATCACAAAATACAGACTTAACAGTAAAAGTAATACGTATTAATAAATAAAATAATTGAAATGGAATGTATGAACAGTTCATTAGTCATTGTTAGTTATTGAATGGAAACTATAGGAGCCGCCCAATATAGTACTACAAATTAAAATTAGCAAAGTGATTTTTCAACGGGAAAACCAAGTTAACAAAGACCTGTTTAATAAAACTGATGTACAAATGTATAACATGTAATTGTATAATTATGTTATTATATAAGTGATTACATATACTTTGTATGATTACCATGTTATACAAACAGTTAAATTAATATATAAGTTAATAATAACTTACCAATATCTTCTTCTATACATGTATTTAGTTTGACCTGGCTATTGTCACTTTTACAAAAATTCATCTTAATTGAGCATTGCTTGCATATATATAGCCCTACAAATAAAAAGTGTTAAACTATAAAATAATTCTTCAATTTTGTTTTACATGAAATAAAATATATCAGACAGGAAATGTAGGGTAGTGTAGCATCACTGTGCATGTAGTTTAAATGTATGTTTTTTTCTTTTAAAAAGGGCTCTATAAGTAATCTACATACATGTACATGTAGGGTCCTAAAATTGAACCTTACAAAAGTTTGCAATGCTTTTGATTTTTTTAGTCTCCATGGCCTATTAGTTCATTAAAAAAATATTATTCTCTGGATAAAGTTGTCTAGTGTTACATGTACAGTTTGTTGTATGTAAAACATGTATTTGTAGGAGGCTTTTCCACGAGATAAAACTTTTTTTAGTACACAAAGAGCTGATCAACTTCCAGTAAGAACTGAAAATATAACTTAGCGGAAGAGAATAAAAACCTGACCTGCTAAACGTTGAATATGTTGAAATAGATTTTGATTATTATCATCATGATCATGATTCTGGTCTATAAATTGATTTTTTAAAGCAGAAAATAAATATATATTGTACCCTGGTTAATAGCTTGAAAATTAAAATTCTGTCCTAAGCTGACAAGGACATACATATTTTGACCATTCTAACCCTCCCCCTTGCTTTTTTAATCAAATGGTCCCAAGACAGAACAATGTATATACGGATATATATTATTTGCTTGCACTTTGCCATTAGAAATAGGTCAGGTGTAAAAGAATATTCACATGCCCCTTCAACACCCACCTCCCCCTTTTTTTAATCTAGCTAATGTATCAATTGTTGGTCCCCTAATTTCAGATTGACTATATGGAACAAATGAAAATTGTTTGTAAGATTTGTACCTGTTCCTACTGGAATAACTCGTCCTGTATACAGCCTGTTTTGAAAGGGTGAAGATCCTTGGTCAGCTTTGGCTTTGCTGGAAGAGGGTTGGACGAGATGTTGACATCTTGCTTGACTATCATGTCAATGAATTCCATAAAAGTCCCTGTACTTCGAGCATATTCAAAGACAAAATGATGTAACAACCATGGGAAAATAAACCACTCCTTGTCTTATATAAATTAAGGAGTCCTGTTGGAAATTCTACACCATTAAGTTTTCAGTATTATTCAGACTTCCTAAATGTAGATGAATGGTAGTCTGTATCTGTACAAATATAATTGGTTACCAATGCTGGTTTCAATACCACGGTAGAGTCTACCGTAGAGAGAGTGTCGTTGATTTACTGATGGTGCGCCAGAGCAGTTTTGACACTCTCAATCTCAATTTTGGTGCGAGCAAGGTGGTTCCACTGGCTCACTTTTTTTTTTACGAAGAATGATTTAGAATACTTTTGTTTTGCTCGTTGAAATCTAAAAACACTTTTTGCTGTTCATGGACTTATTTTTCCAATCAATATTTATCATGTTTATTCACTAAATTATTGTCATGATTGTCAAATTTCTTGGCCATGTTGGCAGTAATTATTTTTTTTGGAAATGCTATTTTGGTCTTTAGTGCATTCAGATATCTTAAATAGTTTGTAATATGTAGATGTATAAGGCTGGAATAGCCCACATGCTCATCCTAGATTATTAAAGTCACAAACTTCACTGTAAACATTTGTCTGCCAAACCATCACTGGGAGCTGACATGTTTGAGATCTTACCCAAGGGAGATAAGTCAATGGAAGAGCATAAAAGATGGACTCCCTGGTTTCAGACAATTTATTGATTTTTGGACTTGCAGTACAAATACGTCTTATTTCATTTTTCAGACAAATTGATTTTACTTGTTCGAATGATTTTATGAGCCATTTTAGTACCAATTGTGTTTAGAATTTAATTAAAATCAAAATCAAAATGTGTCAATTTGGGACTAAAATCACCATTCTTCCAAGGCATAAATTAACATATAATAGTCATTTGCCAAGCTTAATATTTTGTTTTGATATAAAACATACCCCATAGTTAAAACCGATATAAGTTGCAAACAAATCCGGAATGGGTCTTGCAAGATAGAATCGAATGAAAACCACGTAAATTCATGTATGAAAATCCCCGCCTTTGTGTCCCTGCTCCTGGCAATGTGCCAAATCGTTTAAATTTTCATTTGTATTGATCATAACATAGTAAAATGGATGAGTTTCAGCTGACATTACTCTAAAAACTCAACTACCCCATTTAATATGCTTCTGGGTCATTCTTAAAAGGCATAAAAAAGTTGGATTTTTCCTTGGTTTCATTATGAATTTACAGAATTATGCAAATGAGGCTGTTACTAAAAATAGATACGATTCTGGGAAAAATTAAGTGGTCAAATTCTTTTATTTTATGTCAAGGATTAAGATGATGTATAAAAATTTGTCAAGTTGTGATTGTCGATTTGGACGATTTTCTGAATATTGCATGGTTTTCTGGCGGATTGGCTCTTAATGAATCATTATACGGACGTGTAGCTAGCACCTCTCATGTATATATGTTGATACCGGACCTGAAGCTAGAACCTCATTCCCGGGATATGTTAAAAATCTGAATAGTGGACGTGGAGCTTGAACCTCTCCTGTAAAAAATCTGAATACCAGACGTGGAGTTTGAATGTCTTTTGTAATAAATATGGATACCGGACGTGGAGTTTCAACTTCTTCTGTAATAAATATGGATACCGGAAGGCGCCTAAGAGCCTATTTTGTACTACATCTTGATATCGGACGTGGAGTTAGAACATATTCTTGATAAATCCTGATACCGGACGTGAAGCTAGAACTACTTTGGTAATAATTTTGCTAGAACCCTTTTTGGTAATATATGTTGATACCGGATATGGAACTAGAACAACTTCTGTAATAAATAGCGATGCCGGACATGTAGCAAGGTCTTCTCCTGTAATATATTTTGATACCAGAAGTTGCACTAGAACATTTCATGCAATTCATTTAGATACTGGACGTGGCGCTAGAACATCTTCTTTAATGAATCTCTATACCGGACGTGTAGCTAGAACTTCTCCTATAATATATGTTGATACCGGACGTGGAGCTAGAAACTTATTCCGGGGGTATGTTAAAAATATGTATACTGGACATGGAGCTTGAACCTCTCCTGTAAAAAAATCTGATTACCAGACCTGGAACTATAATAAATCTTAATACCGGACTAGGGCTAGAACATCTTCTGTGATACATTTTGATAAAGAAACGTAAAGCTAGAACCTCTTCTGAATTACATATGGATACCGAACGTGGGGTAAGAACCTCTTTTGAAATAATTCTTGACAATAGACGTGGAGCCAAAACCTCGTCTGTAATAAATCTTGATATCGGACGTGAAGATAGAACCTCTTCTTTATAAGCCTTGATAAAGAACGTGAAGCTAGAACCTATTCTTAATAAATCGTGATAAAGAACGTGAAGATAGAATCTTTTCTGAATTACATCTTGGCACCGGACGTGGAGCTAGAACCTTTTCAGTAATAAATCTTACCGGACTAGGGCTAGCACATCTTCTGTAATACATTTTGATAAAACGTAAAGCTAGAGCATTCTTCTGATTTACATCTGGGCACCGGACGTGGATCTAGAACCTCTTCTATAATAAATCTTGATAACGGACTAGGGCTAGAACATCTTCTATAATACATTTTGATAAAGAACGTAAAGCTAGAACCTCTTCTGAATTACATCTGGCCACCGCGCGTGGAGCCCTCTTCTTAACTACATCTGGACAGTGGACGTGTAGTTATAACCTCTTCTATATCAATCTTGATACCGGGCTCGGGCTAGAACATCCTCTGTAATAAATTTTGATAAAGAAAGTGAAACTAGAACATCTTCTGAATTACATCTTGACATCAGAGACCTGTCAATAGACTCCATTCTCAATTCTATTTATATTTGTTATAACTGAAACGTACACATATGTTGTCAACTAGAAAAAAAGTAACAGCTTTGATTCATCTCATCACACGTACAGTTCCAGTAAGTGTGCATTGTATCTAGAATAGTTTTATTATTACCTGTTGTATTGTAAAAGAAGGCTTTATGTAAATCGTTATAAAGTCATGTGCAATCAGATTTTTCAAAGAACCATTTGATGAAATAAGTAAACGTTTGTTTGATAAGATTGTGTGTTAGTTGCACGGAGGTACGCATCAATTAATTCAAAATAATTGATTGGTTGTTGTTTGCTTAACTTCAAGTGGCAAATATTCTATCCATATTCAGAACGAACAATTATGAAGGAAGCTGTTGAAGACGATATTTTCTATCAGAACATGTTGGTAAGCGTCTTTTGCGAGGATACTAGTAGGAGTGCAACCTTCGTTGCAGATCTAATACCTGTTTCGTACACGCTCCGCTTCTATGTTATTGTAGTGCTACCTACATTACAGTAAAGGATGTATATCAATTTGGTGACGGAGATTGAAAAAACCTCTAAGGCAGTGAAAATTAACGAATCAAAAATAGTTCATTTGCCTCTATAAAATAATCCCCATTAGATGACCCCAGTGTTCAAGAATAGTTAAAATTGCCAACTATTAAGATTTCTCATTTTTCTATTTTTCATATTCAAATTGCTTTGAAATAAAAATACAAACGTTACATTCAGATATAAATTTTTGAAAGTCTTTTCTGTCCGAAAATATGTACGTAAATATTGCTAGTTTTTTTTTTTTTATTTTGAACTTGCCTTTTGATTATTTTGGTTGATTAAGTTGTTTGTTATTGACACAGACTCCATATTTCTATTTACTCATTTGAAAAAAAAACAATTCTCTAAGTACTTCAATTACGTTTTATTTTTAGGTAGTGATGTCTGGGCTCATGCAATTTTTCATGTCAGTTGAAATAAAGAATGATACTGCGGTATATATTGAACCACTCCTATCTGAAGCTAGCTGTGCCATCGCTGACCAAGCAATATTCAAATTTAGGGTAAGATGTAATAATGTTAGAAAACTAGCGTTATACAATATGTTTATTTCACAAAAAAAGATATTGTGGCTTCCCCAGCACGTAGTAGGAAACAGGGAAGCTACAAGAATTAAATCAGAAAAATTAAGGACAGTCGATTTATTTTTACTTTTATATGATAAGCCAATGAGACAACTATTATAACTAGAAGACATACAGAGGTTAATATGTTTGAGTTTAACGTGGTGAATACGAATAAAAAGGAGACAATAACAAATTATTCGCCAATAAAGACTGACATCATTGACACCTCCCCCCCTTTCCACCGAAAAAAAAAAAAAAAAATCAATAAAAAAGATAATGTCTACAAACGACAAATTGGTTCTGCCCTGTCCTTATTTCTTGTTTTTGAGAGTGGTGTTTTGTGAACTATTATTCTTGTTATTGTTTTTTGTTTTGATTGCTTCATTGATTGTTGTTTTCTTAAACATTCAGTGGCAAATATTTAATGCAAGTTCAGGACGAGAAGACAGTTACAATTCATACAATAGGTAGGATTTGCAAGGAAGTTGTCTACCGGGTTGAAGGGCGAGAAATTTTGACTGACTGTGGGAAAATATTGTATGTTAAAAAAGATCAGAAAATCTTGCCTTGCAATAGGCCACTTCAGAGATTTGTTGCAAAGATTCTGTAACGTGCAGAGAGAATGACAATCTACCTATACGAGACATCGGATTTAACGACCACATTCTATCAAGATGTGGCTGCATATTAAAACATCACACTCAGCCCCGTTTATGCAAGGGTTTTACTGCCGAAACGGAGGAAATCATAGGGATGACCATATTGCAATGATCCAGTCAACCCTTGGGGTCTCTTCGTGTTGGTGTTTTCTGTTTATCTTCAATTTTGATTAATTTTATATTTCAAATTGTTGCTAAAAGTTGTGCTTATTCAGTTATTTAGAAGAACATAAAATGTTTAATTTCTATTATGGAAAATATTAAGCGAAAAGAAGTTCATAATATTACTTCATGTTATGATGATTAAGCATAATTATATGCTACAAACGTATAAATTTAAGTCTTATCATAATGGTGAACGTCATGATTGAAAATTAAAAAAAAATATGTATATCAAATACTTTCAGGTTATTGGAGAACCAAAAATTGTTGCAAGTAAGTCCTGAAAATGTTATGGTTATACCTTTCTAATTACATATAACTACCTGTATACATAACAAAGTTTTGATGGTTTAAACATTCCAATGTAAAATAGTTACAACAAATCCGGTTATGAAATGTTGTTTGTTTCTAAAGAATCCGTTTTTCAATTAAAGCAGTTTAAAGAATAAAGTAAAAAAGATTGCCATTTACATTATGAATAGCTTCTGAAAGATAACCAAACACACACACACACACACACACACACACACATACACACACCCACCCTGTCATACAATCAGTGTATTACTTTGTTTGTTTTTTTGTTGTTTTTTTTTATGAAACCTAAAGCGCCTTTTTCTATATCATAGCGAACAGTTTATATTGGTATAGGAAGCCGGAGTACTCACGTCGAACCAATGTTAGAACACCTCGTCATGAGCGGAGTTCAAACTCAAAAAGCTAATGTGCACTGTATATGAACTAATTAGAACACTCGGCTGCCGGTAACCTCCTCCGCATAAAAAAGAGATCTTGAGGTCAAAACACAGTTCACAACACTAAACAGATGTCTGTTATATATATATACTACCAAGCTCAAAATCGCCCCGAGTCTAGGAAAATAGCGAATATGTCTATAGAAACCATCACAGATCGCAAGATGCACCAACAAATTATTCCTCTAAAATGAAAAGAAAATACATTTAGATACGACAAAAGACCATCGATAACGAGGTTCTACATGTACACCTGAGAAAGGCTCTTGACCATGAGCATGCGACGGTGTTTAACAAGATTTTACAAGTTCTCAAATCAATATTCATTAAACCAAATATTCGAATTCGTCACCATTTTGATTGCTTAAAATTTAACTTCTGGTATATTTTTCTAATGGCTACTTCGTGTTTAACGTCATCAAATTGACGGAAATTTGATTCTGAAGGAGAATCAACAGGTTTTCGAACTAAATATTCTGGCCTACATTAAGTTGGAAATAAATAATATTGCCTTATTATACATGAACAGAAATATTTTAGCCCCAAATATTCAAAATTTTCAAAATATAGCTAGCTCAGTTCGCTCGAAAAATCTTCAACTATATACAACAGTTACAGATCATCCAGATACACTCTTCGGACGCTTTAAATTTATAAAGTGTTATTTCATATTTTTGTCAATGGCATATCCAGTACGCCCCCCTTTTTGACTAGAAAAAAAACATCATTTATTTTTACAATTGTAAAAAAAAATTCGCCTCGCTATGCTAGATAAATATTTTACCATTTGGGACATTTAATCCTCTCTTTTTGTTTTGCTATTACATTGTCAAATAATTTTTTTTCGGGTTTTACCGCATATCTATTCAATAGTCAAGTTTAAATTATCTTCTCTCTATATTGATTTATCATTCTATATTCTGTAATGTTCCCTTAGAGTCTCCTACTCCTAATTCTAATTTATATTGAATTTGTATGACTTCTACGATTGCATACTGCAAAACTATGTTTCTTTTCCTTAAATCAAAATTACGTGGTTTTCAGTATTTCACACACTTGATAACACCTCTTGGTCGCTTTTTAACATCACACAACTTATATAAAAATGACATTATTTATAGACAATATTTATTTAAACAAACAAATTTAGATAAAATGATTATGGCATAATCAAATACATACAATGAAACAGACAATTGTATAATTATAAAATCTTTTACATTAATTTTTATTACATCAATTCTTTTTGCATTTACTTTTGTGTTGTTCTACGCTACCAATTCATTATATGCTAGATATAGCTTATGCATGTGTGTGTGTGTGTGTGTACGAGCACGCTTGTGTGAGTGAAGAAGTTGAAAAAAATATATTTGTTTATTTATAGTTTTTGAAGTAGAAGATGCTACAGTTCTGAATAGGGTTACTGCTGAAATAATGGCTTCCGGTTCCTTTACCGTGACATGTTCACCACTATCCTGTTATGAAAGTTGGGCCAAGATTTTAGGCGTTGATGAAAAATTCACAGGACCAGCTCCAAGGAAATTGACAGGAAAATATGTGTCATGGTTTGACATTACGTTAGAACATCATGGTAAAGTAATATGTATTCATAGCGATTAAAATTTCCCCGACTGTTTACTAGCCGAATCCTCATCGAATGGTACTTTTTTTTCCAACACGTTAACTACGGTCCTTTGTTCCTACTATGTTAGTGTGTCTATAGCGTCTACGCCCTCTAAACATGTTTTGCCTTGTCTATAGCTTTTGTTTCTTTATCCTCTGTAACTGTTTTATTTATATAGATTGTCCACTCTGTATGACTGTATCTATAGCAAATGATCCTCTGCCTTCTGTCACTGTAACTGTTTGATAATCGGATAGATTAAGGTTTGTTTATCCTCTCTTACTATTTTATCGTATCTAAAATTTGTGATTCTGAGTTTAGAAACAAAACTAATCTTAACTCATCTGATATGCTTAATTTGAGTTTTTTGTTGTTCTTTAAACAACATTAAAAAAAAAAACGTTAACAAAAAACGGGAAGTTCCCCCAAGTTTAGTCTTTTCAAAACATTTCCAAAAATATATTAATTGGTGATATTTATTAATTAAAAGACGAAGTATTTGCAAGTCTCTCTGTAACATCAACACGGAAAAAAGATATATATCATATAAGCGACGTCTACCCCACATCTCTCCTTATTCACGTATGTATTTAGATCTTAGTATCATGTAATTGGTACCGTTGCCATTAATTCTATGTTGATATAGGCATATTTTATTGTCAGAGCAAGAAAAAGAATTATGAATAAGACACAATAAAATTGAGAATGGAAATGGGGAATGTGTCAAAGAGACAACAACCCGTCCAAAGAGCAGAAAACAGCCGAAGGCCACCAATGGGTCTTCAACACAGCCCGGAGGGGGGCTTCAGCTCCAAGACATATAAATGAACATGTTTTGTGAGATGTCAACCATCCCCCTATAGCTCTAGCTAATGTAAAAAAACAAACACACAGCAATACGCACAGTAAAAATTAGTTTAAAAGAGGTCCGAGTTCGATGTCAGAATAAGAAACAAAAGAAACTAAGCAAAATGACAATGATACATAAATTAACATAGAACTACTAGCAGCTACTGACATGCCAGCTCCTTTTATTATATATATCTTTATTCTGACAAACCTTCGTCAATACAATGGTATACAGAAGTTACATGTAATAAATAGTACAGTTATAAATTAAAAATATAAATCAATTGTTTTAAAAACAATTGTTAAACGGTCTTTCCCCTCCGAAACATGATTGGTTGGTTGGTTGGTTGGTTGGTCGATTGATTGATTGATTGATTGATTGATTGTTTGATTGATTGATTGATTGAAAGTTTGCATGACACTCTCTCTATGCCAGGCATCGGACTTGACGTTCATATTCTGACGAGGCTGCGTACTTGTATATCCCGCACTCCCAAACGGAAAGCTTCAGGATTTCCTAATAAATAAAAATCCTAACATCTACTTTTTTTTTCTAATTTTCTCTATTTGCTACGAGAACTGATACTTCATGGTTTCTTTTATGTGTTGTGTGTACATTTTGTTTCAACTTGTAGGAAGAAAAAAAATGAGTAACATTTTGTCTTGGAAGTTTTACTTTCCATATTTGGATATGGATCTCGAATGTTTTATTCTAATTTTAGGTCCACGCGCGTGATGATGTTTTGAAGTCACTTGACGCTCGAATATATATGTCTGGAGTTAGAAAATTAATTTCTTTTCAGGGGAGACCGTTGAACAGAGCACATGTGTATTGATCAGAGAAACACGATAACTATTGTTTTTATTTTGTACAGGTCATTGATGTCGGATCACGCATACATATTACGTACACATGTTTACGGGAGCACAGATTTGTATTTTAATGCATGTTTAGAAATTTGATTGTAGGATTTCAGTAATACATTGATTTTAATTTCGCAATCAAGCGGACCGCACGTGTCTCATCGAATAATTTCAGAAAATACATGAATTGGAGCAAATTTTTGCAGGGATGGATTTCTATTTCAGAAAGAAATTTGTACATAAGAAGGATTAGCATTTTACAGTATAATGTACGGGACTAAAAGCGATCTTCTTTTCTTTGAAATGGGATAACTTAAAAAAAAAATCAGTTGAAAAAAGGGGGGGGGGGGAGTGTAGTGGTAGACTGTGGTTCATTATTGAGATAAGAAACATTTACAACATGATAGCTGCAAAGTTTGAAGTTTTGATAAGTAATTTGTAGATTCGACCATAACAGGGACATTGACCCTGCAATAAAGTGACGCATACCATTTCGACCAAAAATTTCTAGTAAACACGTGTCGCGACAAACTTTTTGGTTAAATTGTTTTGTCGATATCTATAACTCTTTCTAGGAAGAAGCGATATGAACTTAATGTAAAAAATCACAACATGACCTTGACCTTTGACCTTGACCTAGTTTTCTATTCTTTAGGACCAAGGACCTCAAATCAACAGACCCTAGATCTCTATCACTTATGGTTTACCAGTTACAAATGCATATCACTTATTTCAAATGCATTAGGGGAAATAACTCTCATATGGAGTCTTCGTATCGCTTCCGTCAAAATTGGACAAAAAATCCTGAGGGTATAGCGAGCCATTTGGTAAAATAAATTTGTCGCTTTCTTTTACGGTTACGGAGGAGATGCAGTCACAAGGAAAACAGTGTTCAGGGAGATAACTCCTACAAAGAAAATTGTTCGGCTTAGAATGGGTGAAAATAAAAAGCGCATTGACTGTATGATACTATATAAGAAATATCTAAGCGACATCTTGCGAAACAAAAATTTTACGCGAGAACAAAATTAGGCGGAAGAAAAAAATAATAATAATAATAATAATAATCAGAACAAATACAATAGGTCTTTCCACAGAAAAGTGGAAAGACCTAATAAACATGATATGTACACTATTTACAAATCTAAGTTGAATTTAGCCAGGAGAACACACACATGAATTAATATGCCTTATAAATGTACATAGCTTTTTTTAAATATGATTGTTTTGTTATATTCATTACTTCCTTAAATTTAATTATATTCGGATTATTAATATACTTTTTATCAATATACTTTTGTCTTTCTATAGCCATAAATTTACAATTCATTACATAGTGGAATTCATCTCCAAGATCTTTTAAGTCACAGAGTCCGCATATTCTTTTATCTCTCTGAATTTTTTTCCATCTACCACTTTCTATCGGTAATCTGTGGTTAATTAGTCTTAATTGACATAAAGTATAAATATCACGGGGTTCCAAAATATCTAAATACTTTTCGAATCCGAAAAGTTCATTAAAAAGGCGGTAATTTAATGTTTTTGAGTTCGTTTGAATATCTGAGTACCATGTTTGTTTAAATTGATCTTGGAGAGATGTTCTAACAACAGTCTTTAACCAAATTTCATTTATACAAGTTTGAATTAACCATACATAAGATAAACCAGTATCATTTAGAATAGATTCTATACATTTCATCCAATAAAATTTAACATTATTTCCATGAGATAAACTAAACATTAATTTGTATGCTATTGTTGATAATTTACCGGGTTTGCTAAAAATCAACTTTGCCCAGTATGAAATCATGCGAATTTTGATATCTAAGCTAATAGGATAACGTCCTAATTCTCAATAAATAACACAATTCGTGGTGGAAGATTTTAGATGGAGTAGAAGTTTACAAAATTTCAAATGAACTCTTTCTTATATATCATTATTTCTAAATCCCCAAATTTCACAGCCGTAAAGTAAAACAGGTTTAACCAATTTATCAAATAAATCTAATTGACAGCTTATTGATAAGCCATGCTTTCTACCTTTTTTGATAACTTCATACATTGCTCTCGTTGCTTTTTCTGCAAGATGCTTCTTATTTGCTTTAAATGAGCCATTTTTAGTCAGAGTTACCAAAATTAAATTTAGGGTAAACAGGTTGTCTACCACTACAAAAAATCATGATTTTAGTCTTGTCTACATTGACTTTCATTTTCCGAACATTACAATATGATTCAAATTTTTCTAATAGTAATTGAAGTTCTGTGGCTGATTCAGCCATTAAAACAGTATCGTCTGCGTAGAGAATTGCAAACAGTTTAACATATAAGTTTAGTTCGTCTTCTAGGGCATCTGATATAGTTTTTAAGCCTATCAAATTCCCTTTACAAAAGAAATCTTCCAAATCGTTCAAAAAAAGCGAAAAAAGAAAAGGGGATAAATTCTCCCCTTGGCGTAGACCAATGTTACTTGGAAAATAATCAGATTTCTCACCATTGTATGACAAACATGATTTTATATCATCATACATGTTATGAATAATTTTATACATATAACCATTACTATTATTTACAGCATCTTATACCATAAAGCATCTCTAGTCACTGTATCAAATGCTTTCTCAAAATCGACAAAAGCACAGAACATTTTTTTCTTTTTTAATTTCAAAATTTCAAAAAAAGAGTGTAGTGTAAAGATACAATCACAAGTTGAGTAACCATTTCGGAATCCACACTGATTTTCATTAAGTAGTAAAACTTCATCAGAGAACCTTGAAAGTCTATTACTTGAAATAGCTGTAAATAATTTACCCATACAACTTACAATAGTAATGGGTCTATAGTTTTTAGGATCAAACTTATTGCCTTCGTTTTTATAAAATGGCTTGATCGTTCCAATCACCCAAGATACTGGTATTATTCCAGTTCTAAAAATCAAGTTAAACAATGCAGAATAAACATCAATAAAAAAATCGCCAGAAGTCTTAATATATTCGTTAATAATCATATCATCACCACAAGCTTTGTTATTTTTTAAATTCTTAATACATTTTAATATTTCTTCTTTCGTAATTGGACTATTTAAATTATCATTCAGTTCACTCATCAAATTTGTATCATAAGTTGGCAAGTCAATTGGATCTAAGTTACCTGAGTGTAGCTCTTTGAAAAAGTTGAGTAAATCCTCAAAATTAATATTCGGTTGTTTTAAATATTCACGTTGGTTCAAAATTTTCCAATACTCTTTGGTGTTTTGA